ATAAACTTATAAGTGGGTACAAAAGGGGCAAATATTTACAAGGTGTTTTTGGTAGAGCTACAGATAATTTTAATAAATCTGAAGATGCTTTGAAGCAAGCTGTTGCTATGAAATATCATAATCATCTTTCTAGACGAAAATTTGATTTAGTTTGCAAAACACAAAGTTCTGTTTTTGATCCGAAACAAGAGACATGGTTACCCAGGTGTATTAAACATAAAGATATAGTTATTTCATTACCTAAAATAGTTAGTGATGCTAAAGTTGACAATTTTGTGAAGAATCTAGACATTGGTTATGTGTGTCAAATACCTGAATGTCCTGGTGTGTCACGCACTGTCACTGGATTAGTATTTATGATTCTTGATTTACACTTGCGGTTACCACACTTAAAGAGAAAGTTGATGTGGTTTAATGATAATCCCTTTCATTTTATTTTTCAGTTTTCAGATGATGGAGCACCAGAAACTAGTGAGCTAAGTATGTCAATTGGATCTCTCACCTGCTGGAATCTTGGAGACAGGGTTCGTAGCAGAGAGTATCAGTACTTGCTGCACTGTTTAAGTATAGGGGAGAAAGATCCTGTCATGGAAGACCTGTGGTTGCAGCATTCAGATGAGATGTTGCTCCTTGAGGGCAATATTCTCACTGTCTGTGGTAACCAGTGCACTGTGGAATTCCAACCTAGTGCAGATCAGTCCTGGCAGAGCTGGGCCAATAATGAGCTGAACCAAGCTGCCACATACCCATCACCATATGCAAATGTTCATAAGGGGAATATGTGTGTCATGGGGGGTACAATAGGAAATTCAGCTTCAGATACCTGGACACCACCTTCAAAGGAGAAGCGTGAGAGAGATTTAGGCAAGTTAGATAGTTTTAGGAAGTCACTTAGCAGCAGTTTAGGAGGTCAGCAAAAGCATACTAGGGAGCTAGAGTTCATGAGGGAAAATGGTCTGCGACAGGTAGGTTCACCCCGAATAAGAGATTTTGCTGACCGACAAAGGCCTGAACCAGTGCACAATGAAATAAATGCATGGCAGCACTTTCTTAACTTACTGTATAAAGAATCCCTCATGAGGAATGTCACAGAGACATTTCTTCAGGTTTTTAGTGCACCAGTAACAACTGCAAACGAGGAGAAGAAAACATCAAGTGAAGCAAGTGTTTCCCACCCTGAGGGTGCCGGTGAGAGAGTCTGGCAGCATGACCTCCCAACAAAGAGTGCTGGTGAGTTTTCAAAATATGTTAATGAAATTGTAAATGCTCATGTTGGGGTGGGGCAACATCTACTGGGCTGTGGTTTAGCTTTTGTTGCCAGTCTTATAAGGGAACACTATAAAGACAAAGACAAGAGATCCAACGACCTGAGTATTCGCCTTATTGGGGAGCAGGCTATAGCTCTTGCTCGATATTCCTACAGACTTGTAGATGCCCTTGTAGTTCCAAACGAGACACCTGCACAGAAAATTAAACGACTAGCACTTGGAAAAGTTGCACAGTATTTAAGGGATGCTTGTACATTATTTAACAAAGTAGACACCAATGCTTCAGAGGTAAACAATTTAAGTGAATTATGTAAAATGTATTTCAATCTACTGGTAATGTTCTTTGAACAATCTGTTAATGTGACTGTATGGACTGTTGCATATGCAATTCCCTATCATGCCTCTTTGCTTTTCACCCAATATAAAGTAGGTTATGGCATCATTTCCTTACAGGCCAAAGAATCAAAGCATTCTGGAATAAAAGCTGACCTTGTACTCACTAATCGATCCAAGTCCACACGTGAATTAGGTAAATGGTGGCAGGTGATGAGGGCAAACTATGTAAGGGCATTCTATCTCCCAGAGCATCAGCCAATGCCCTCATCATACATATCTCATTTTCAATCACGTCTCCCACCATTTTTCAATAAACCCAACTACTGTGAGTGTGGGAGGGAGCGAAATGAGGGTGGAACTTGTACATTTTGTGATGAGTGTGTGGAAATATTACTTTGTATCAAGGACCAAAAACTTAATGATAGTTTACTTGCAATTTTAAAACCTTTTCTGTGCAGTGATTGCCAAAAGAGATTTCCAGATGAACAAACTTTGCAGTCTCACTGCCAATTTAGTCATGCAAGAAGTGATCATGAAGAAAGAAGACCAGCATCCAGAGGGGCAATTATTGATCCTAAGCAACTGTCTGTCAAATGACAATTTTGTGAAGAATCTAGACATTGGTTATGTGTGTCAAATACCTGAATGTCCTGGTGTGTCACGCACTGTCACTGGATTAGTATTTATGATTCTTGATTTACACTTGCGGTTACCACACTTAAAGAGAAAGTTGATGTGGTTTAATGATAATCCCTTTCATTTTATTTTTCAGTTTTCAGATGATGGAGCACCAGAAACTAGTGAGCTAAGTATGTCAATTGGATCTCTCACCTGCTGGAATCTTGGAGACAGGGTTCGTAGCAGAGAGTATCAGTACTTGCTCCACTGTTTAAGTATAGGGGAGAAAGATCCTGTCATGGAAGACCTGTGGTTGCAGCATTCAGATGAGATGTTGCTCCTTGAGGGCAATATTCTCACTGTCTGTGGTAACCAGTGCACTGTGGAATTCCAACCTAGTGCAGATCAGTCCTGGCAGAGCTGGGCCAATAATGAGCTGAACCAAGCTGCCACATACCCATCACCATATGCAAATGTTCATAAGGGGAATATGTGTGTCATGGGGGGTACAATAGGAAATTCAGCTTCAGATACCTGGACACCACCTTCAAAGGAGAAGCGTGAGAGAGATTTAGGCAAGTTAGATAGTTTTAGGAAGTCACTTAGCAGCAGTTTAGGAGGTCAGCAAAAGCATACTAGGGAGCTAGAGTTCATGAGGGAAAATGGTCTGCGACAGGTAGGTTCACCCCGAATAAGAGATTTTGCTGACCGACAAAGGCCTGAACCAGTGCACAATGAAATAAATGCATGGCAGCACTTTCTTAACTTACTGTATAAAGAATCCCTCATGAGGAATGTCACAGAGACATTTCTTCAGGTTTTTAGTGCACCAGTAACAACTGCAAACGAGGAGAAGAAAACATCAAGTGAAGCAAGTGTTTCCCACCCTGAGGGTGCCGGTGAGAGAGTCTGGCAGCATGACCTCCCAACAAAGAGTGCTGGTGAGTTTTCAAAATATGTTAATGAAATTGTAAATGCTCATGTTGGGGTGGGGCAACATCTACTGGGCTGTGGTTTAGCTTTTGTTGCCAGTCTTATAAGGGAACACTATAAAGACAAAGACAAGAGATCCAACGACCTGAGTATTCGCCTTATTGGGGAGCAGGCTATAGCTCTTGCTCGATATTCCTACAGACTTGTAGATGCCCTTGTAGTTCCAAACGAGACACCTGCACAGAAAATTAAACGACTAGCACTTGGAAAAGTTGCACAGTATTTAAGGGATGCTTGTACATTATTTAACAAAGTAGACACCAATGCTTCAGAGGTAAACAATTTAAGTGAATTATGTAAAATGTATTTCAATCTACTGGTAATGTTCTTTGAACAATCTGTTAATGTGACTGTATGGACTGTTGCATATGCAATTCCCTATCATGCCTCTTTGCTTTTCACCCAATATAAAGTAGGTTATGGCATCATTTCCTTACAGGCCAAAGAATCAAAGCATTCTGGAATAAAAGCTGACCTTGTACTCACTAATCGATCCAAGTCCACACGTGAATTAGGTAAATGGTGGCAGGTGATGAGGACAAACTATGTAAGGGCATTCTATCTCCCAGAGCATCAGCCAATGCCCTCATCATACATATCTCATTTTCAATCACGTCTCCCACCATTTTTCAATAAACCCAACTACTGTGAGTGTGGGAGGGAGCGAAATGAGGGTGGAACTTGTACATTTTGTGATGAGTGTGTGGAAATATTACTTTGTATCAAGGACCAAAAACTTAATGATAGTTTACTTGCAATTTTAAAACCTTTTCTGTGCAGTGATTGCCAAAAGAGATTTCCAGATGAACAAACTTTGCAGTCTCACTGCCAATTTAGTCATGCAAGAAGTGATCATGAAGAAAGAAGACCAGCATCCAGAGGGGCAATTATTGATCCTAAGCAACTGTCTGTCAAGGACTTAAAAAAAGAGTTGGCGCAAAGGGGGTTACTTGTGACCGGAAGCAAAGATATATTGATTAAAAGGCTTGAAACTGCCCTGAATAAGGAATTATAGTTAAAAAACTTTGCAGACCACACATCATTTCATAAAAAAAAATTAATTTTATTTCAATGTAAGTAATGAGCATATGTTGAAAATCTACTGCTCAAACCAGTGTTAATTCTGTAAATTATATATTCTTAACTTTCATCACTTGACAAATCTGATTTAACAAAAACTATATCCTTATACTGCTGAACACATGGCACAGAAAATTATTTATGTGAAAAAATATTTTTCATATCTACATTTCATGTAAGTGAATCCTTAAACTGCCTTTTCAAAAAAAATTCTGTAATTAGTTTTACCAAACCAAAATATGTTTTGAATATTACCGTCTTATGTATTGTATATCAATGGGTGAGATTTATGGTAGCACCCCAACCTCCTCCTTTTCCTCACAATATATAAAAATAAAGTGAAATCACATAGCATGATTTACACAGCAGTGGAAATGACCTTTGCATTTTTTGAAATAAAGTAATTAACTAAAGGTACCATATAGTGAGCCTCTTACTGCTGGTTATATTATTGGATTGTATGATTCTGATGATAAACTACTACTTATACTTCTTTTTTTTTACAGATTTAGTAGCATTTCTTAATTATGCAACTGTAAAGGAAATAATCCTGCATGTGCTAATAAAAAGGAAAATTGTTCTTCAAATTTTTGTCTTAAGCTTACTAATCTTAGTTTTTCATTCATTTAATTTGCAAGGTCACAGTCACATTATACTGAATTGTGTCCAGGATTTAATAGGAGAAATAAGATTCATTCTATCCCAAAAAATCTTATTTACTACCCACCTTGCATTTTATAAAACTCACTGACTCATAAGACTTTGTAGGCTAGAGTCAATCACAAAGTCCTGTGCTGTGTACCGCTGAATGTAGAATGTGACAGTGACCTTTTGATTTTTAAGATTATAATCAAAACAAAAAGGAGTTGTTTGGGAAATAGCCACAGCCGATCTGCCTTTGTAAACAGATCTCATTGTACCGTTATTGTCAGGTTGGCGACTGAAATGTCGCTTCCTTAGGACATCTTGTCCTTCAAAACGAGCCGGAGAAAATATCTTTTCCGCCGTTTCAAGAAGGTTGAACGTAGAGATCACCTTCGATTTTCGATTATCGAAGGTCACTTCAGCGCCGTATCCTCTAAACAGCACTGTAATGAGGCGAAATACAGGCCAAGGTACAAAAAGGATAACAGGGCTAGCCAGAGATGTTGCCTTTGATCGAGTTAACTTCGCAGATACTTGATTACCGATCTCCAAAAGGTAACTGTCAATTAACGGGCCGGTCAGCTCAAGCTTGTTCCCACATATTTCCTCCAGTCCACTATTCATGTTTCCCATGCCGTAATTCGGTCGGCGTCTCGCTCTCCTGATCGCCTTTATCCACTCCCGCTCGAAAGTAGATTTCATTTCCACCTCGTTTACATTCCAAAACTTTTTCTCCCTTTCCGTATTTTCAGTATTTCCTCTCAAATCGATAACAATTTCTCGAAGATCAGCCGCCATGTTTTTTACTGCTTCTTAGGCAGAGTTCGACAATGGTAATTACCGCTGACGATTTTGCGCCCGCACAAACGGGAGCATTTTCCTTAGCAACTGACCATCGTGTTTGGTGAACCAGCCCTCGAAACGAACGATTTCTTCCCGCCGCTGTAAATATGGCACGGAAGATGGGATTCCCTCCCCTTTGGTCGAATCTACGGGCTGCGGCTAACAGGACATCATTGTCTTCTTCCAAAAGATCTAGAAAATAAAATTTAACACAAAGTTGATGTCGCTACCCCTTCAAGACAGTTCGCCCCAACTTATGTTTCCCACTAGTCTTTAACACTGACTATGGGGCGACGTGGTTATCCCTTAAGTCTCGTGTATTTTAGCTCGCCACCCTTCAAGACAGTTCGCTACCGTTGAATTTTCCCATTAGTCTTTACAACTGACTATGGGGCGACGTGGTTATCCCTTAAGCGTCGATATTTTAGCTCGCCACCCTTCAAGACGGTTCGCTACCGTTGAATTTTCCCCATAGTCTTTAACACTGACTATGGGGCGATGTTGTTATCTCTTAAAAGCTTATTGAGGGTGTCCAACGACGTGCTACGCGTCTTCTCCTATCTAATTTAACTTACAATGAACGTCTTCAACAGCTCAATCTTCTCCCATTGGTGTACCAAAGAGAATTTAAAGACATAAGAACATTTTATAAACTGAAGTGTGGTTACTATACCTATTCAGTTGAAAGATATTTTGAATTTTGCTCAGATAAAAGATTAAGGTCATATTCTAGTAATAAGTTAAAGATCAACAACGTCAGTACCGAATTATTCAAAGGCACTTTTTTCAATAGATTACCATATTTATGGAACAACCTGCCTGATAAACTCAGGACCTCTAATTTAAGCCTATCCTTATTTAAAAAACAATGTAATGAGTTCTATACAAAGAAGAGCTTCGACCCTGACTACCCGCATGCCACTTGGATGTAGTAATCGATGTAACAATTATTTTCTGATTAGATTAATCTAGGATATGACATATTATCAATTATAGTTTTTTCACATTTAAGATATAATTTTAATGTTCCCTTTTTTCTGTTTCTATATTTAAGTGTCTGTTGTAGTTTTTGGGTGGACTAGCTCGAATGGTTCTTATGTTCCCTTCTAGTCCTACCCCACTTCAATAATTTTTTTCCTAATATGTAGTTAATTGTTCTCTTATGTAATTTAGCTAAGTTTTCTTTTTGCAGTGAAATGGAATAAATTAAATTACATTAACTCAAAGGAATGAGGCATCACAGTTTTCAAATAACTCTTGTTACAAGCAATTACTTACCGTCAATCTCGCTGTCAAACGCTTGATAATTCATTCTTGTCGATTTGATCAGCTATCACCCGCAACTGCTTTTCGCTGAATGAACAGCTATCACTCCTGGGCGCAATTTATGTCCACAAGAGCTTCGACCTTTGAGCAGAATTTGCATACAAACTCACCCGAGCGTATACCATTGACGTCAAACGATCTTCATTTCGCTGAGCTAGGAAAGTTCTATGACGTTTTTTACCTTGCCTAGTCATTTCGTGGACGTGCTACCCTGCACGTCTTCTATTTTCTCACGTTTTTTCTACATAATCTCTTACTTTAAGTCACGTTTCGTTTCCTTCAATCTTGCACTTAACTTCTCTTCCTTTTGTTTTAAAGTAATTACTCTGCCATCTTGTTTAAATCAATTAAAACGCAATCTTCGTTTCTATTCAGGTCATTAATCCGCTATGTTGCTATTGTTTTTCCTAGATTTGAAGTCGTGCTAGTGTGCACGTTTTCCTAGGTCACAGAAGGTCACGCCGTTTGCCCTTGGATTTTTTATTCGTGATAAACTGCACGTTTTTCAATATTCATTGCAGCTGTTTTTCCCGCTTCAAGCTATTTTCCCGCTTTTTCCCTACAACATTTATTTCATGTTGTTTTTGCTTTCTCCCTAGTCAATAACTTTTCACTGTTCTTTTACAATGTGCTTTCTTTATTCACGACCTTACATTACAAATAGGACGTATAAGTCACCGATGGTGACTTGCCTAAAATTCTTCAAATACACGCGGATACATGACAAAACATTTTAGTTGCATCTGAGCTTTTTGGAACGGTGTTGCGTTCATATATTTCCAATAACCAGAATCTGTGATGTCGTCCATACATAGTGTTAAACTCACGATGCGTACACAATGTGCACACAATTCATCGTCTGCTGTGTTTTTCCAAAGCGTAAATTGGCACAATTGTCTGTGTTTTAATTCTTCTAAGGTCGTTCTGGAAATATATAAAAGCAACAGCGTTTTACAAGTTTAATGCACTTCGGGAAACCTCCTGTTTAACCGTTCAAGTAATTCTTCGGGATACTCGTCAGGGTTTTGAAATAACACATCTCTATCAGGAATAGCACTGTACACTCTAATAAATTGCCTATTGGCTTCAATAGGGTCAAAATCATTATCATAGCTTTGAAATTTAATCCAGTCATCAATCAGAAGGTTAAACATCCCTAATCTGCAATCGCAGTGACATTTCACGTCGCTATACGCCCAAGGACTGAAAGGGCAACAGGGGAGACATTTGATTTGAAACAGGGATTTTCTAGAAAAGATAAAGGAGAAAGTCACTTTCATTAACTGAGTTCTTCCACTGAAAAACCTACGGGTCTAGAATACAATTTTATTATACAATCACTTTCTTTCTGCCAGTTAATGTGTTGTCCTTTCCATGCCATTCTTAACCCGTCTAGCGTTAAATGCATTTTAAAAATGCGGTCACATTGTCCGCAATCGGAAAAGGTCAGCCAACTACTAAAGGGGCAATACATTGTTTTTTTCCAATGTCTTAGTTCCTGGACAACGTGTCTACAATAAAAATAAAACGAAACACTACATTGACAATCACAAAACAATTAAACTTGCAGACCAATTTAAATCTTTATACATTTCAATCCTTTCACAGGATGCCCTTAAATAAAATTGAGAAACCACGCAGTGAATGACGGTGACCAAGAAACATCAGAAACCAGTTTCAAAAGGTTGAGAACATGTCTAAAACAAAGAAATCAACTTCTTACACTTAGTTTACAAAATTTACATATAACTGAATATACAGGAACAAGTTTTCAGGTTTTTTCCACGATGCAAAGGTTTCCATGCAGGTGTTCACGAAGCCACAAAAAATATCGACTGGCCATCGTTCTTTATCTGTGTCTCTGTAGGCTTCTATTAATTTTAGCGTAATTCTATAGTAGATAATTGACAAGAAATATTTTCATAAATAGTGGTAGGTCCAAATCTCTTAACAATCTAAGATTCATAAGCGTGGTTCTACGAGCAAACAAAACAAAATTTCAGTACTTAAACCACTTTACACTTTACACATTCGCAACCTCCAACAGAATTTATAAAACTTTATAAATTCGCAGCCTCCAACAAAGCAGCTTCAATCCAGGCACAGCGAATGAGATAATTGCGTACAAAAATCCAGTTAATTTGCGTCAACGTCTTTCTATAATTGCAAACCAAACATTACTGTAAGCGACCAGTGCACTTTTGTTTTCAATAGCTTTACATTCCTAAGCTGAGGGAGTGGTTTTAATGGAGAAAACGAACGTGCCATCGTAGACAAATGTAGACGAATCTAAACCGCTAGCAAAAACAACTTACTCAAGGAGCAGCCTTCTGGGAAGTGACGCTTCGTTTTAGCTACCTTCCTATATAAAACACACCTTTACTCGATCATTGGTTAATTTCGCTTTCCCTTGGGTTCTCCATCTTTCTGATTTGTTCGCCTTGTTCCATGTGCTTCTACCACACCCATATCGCACATGTAGTCTTTTGTTTTAGACCATTTCGCAATCTTACCCTAAGCACGTTTTCTTCCTAAATTCATGTTTCTACTTTCTACACACTTGTTTTTTTATTTTCGTTTCCTCTTTTTCTATTTGATTTCTTCTTTCCCTGCCTTTCTTCTCTCTTTGCGTTGCTTTTAGGTAGGACATGACACATGTCACGGCTCCTTCAATTTAATGATTTTGTATATTTAATGCCTCACGCTGGTTCATTATTATTCGCTTTTGTTGGACAGCATTTCGCAATCTTACCCTAGTCGAGAAACTTCCTAAATTGAAGCTTCTACTCTGTTGTTTATTTGCGTTTCCTGTTTCTTATACATGCTTTCTTATTTCCCTGCCTTTTTTCTCTTGTCCTTCTTTCTAAGCCACAAAACACATTTAGGAAGGACCGTTTTGCCAGCGCTGAATATTCTTTTCGCTTGGAAAACGCTTTGCCAATTTGATTTTTCCTTTATTAATCCTTCCAGTGTCTAAGGGATTAGTCGGCCATCTTGTTTGATGTCAGTGACTATTACACAACTTTTTTGCCTGCACGCAAACAATTTCAGCATGCAAGTTTAAATAAATGGAGACATATAATAGTTTTTTATTTTACACCAACTGTTCCAACAGTGGATGTTTTTTTTTGTTTGTTTTTTTTTTCACTTCTAATTGTCAGCAAGAAAGGAAACACACTACTTCAATTGACTGGTCTTTGAATACGACTTCCGACTGCAGAGCCTCTCCGACGACCCTTCCCGAGACCTGCCGAAGACTCCCGACGACTTCCATCACCTCCTGCCTCATTTGCATCACAATGGTTGCTGAATAGACCCCTGATGCTGCTAATTCGAGTTGCACACTGGCAAGTACCACTGCACCAGTGGCAAGAGGTACGGGATTACACTCAAACGTCACTTGATCAAGGCATCATCAGAGTCGTTCAGTCCTTACGCATCCCCAATAGTCCTTGTTAGGAAGAAACATGGCAAGCTGCGACTCTGTGTTGACTACCGGCTTCTGAAAGCAAGGACACACAAGGACGCATATCCATTACCACGTTCTGACGAGGCCCTAGACGTCCTAAAAGGAACGAAGTACTTCTGTAGCCTTGATCTTGCCCATGGGTTCAATCAAATACCAATGG